TATGAAACATGAGAGGGAACATCCATGATAATTAATAACTCTTCATGAGATAAAAAACATTCCATAAACTTTCTTGTGTACAGAAACTTTTGAGAGGAAATATGTTTCAAAATATGAGCTATACAGTCATTGCCAAAATCATATAAATTAATTACATCATCATACATTAATGACCTGTATTTCATTAACCAGATTGTAATGCATGGTGAATGTCCACAACTCTTTGCAGAGGTAGCGCTGTGCTGTTACCAGCCAAGGCAGTGCTGCCGATAACAGCAACACTGTGTCCAGGGGGGCCAACTGACCACTAGTTCACCCTTAAGCCACAACCTTTACAACACCCTAACCCATCCATACCAGCTGGGTTATTACTTGTAAAAAAAGGAAATTTATGCGCGTTTATTCTGTTTGTTATTTGGCTTTCTGTAAAGTATCTTGTAAATGTTTTTACACCCATACTCCTAAGAAAGTTTCAAAAGGTGACATATAGTAATGACTTGATAATGAAATGACACCAATTGTTGAAATGACATTGTGGTAAGGACTGGGTAAGAGTATTTGTGTACGAGTGAGTGGAAGGTGGGCTGCGGTGAAAGTGCGAGTCAGATGCTCAGGGCTAGGGATATGTCTTGCTTCTTGGCTGGCCAGCACAGCAAACACTGCGCAGTCCCAGTCACAAGATGGCACCACTCATTGCTCTAATATCTGAATGGAAGAAATTGAGTCAACTAGTAAAAAATTAAGCAATATGGCATAGAATAATAAAAACCAGTATCCTAGAAAACTAGTTGTCTAACTATATACACAGGTTTAAAGTCTCTGGTATCAAGATTCATCTAAAAGGGCAATAACATCTCCAGTCTCAAAGTTCATCTAAAAACTTGGAAAAACAACAAGCAAAGTTCTCCCGCAAGGAGCATGGGTAGCTGGGTATCACAAGGTGAACGTGCATACAGTACGAGCATATGGTGGCGGTGGCCTCACAGTCATAGTCTGGCCCTTGTCCTCCACCACACCGCCTCACATTGGCTCCCACACTGCGCCATACACACTAATAGTCTTATAAGCTCATCCTTGGAGCAGTGCCCCATGAGTGCCCCTATAAAAGAGAAGGGAAGTAGGCCCTGATTCCAGCATGGCTTGTGGACACTAAACCCCGTGCTGTTGAGTAAGACCATGCAGGGCTTGAGGGCGTGCAGGAGTGTGGTTGTGTGGCAGAGCTTTGGAGGGTCCCGGCTGCGGGTCGTTTAGGCTGTCCGGGGTGAAGGCTGTAGTGGCATGGGGCCCTTGATAACTGCCCGGGCCCAAGGAGGTCCCGGACCCCTGCCGCAGCCCTCTGGAGGGTAGCACACCAGCTGCTGGCCCCGCTAGTGCATGGGGATTAATGTGGTGGAGAGTATGAAGGTGGTGGGAGGACGTGGTGTCTGTAGTTGAGCCCTCACTGAGCACGCGGCCGTAGCGAGGCCACCCACACCCTGAGATTACCGCCAGTACCAGGGACACCACCCCGCATGCACAGCCACAAAGCTGCAACAACACCACGCACACACCGTTACTCAATATCTACACAAAAATCTCAACTAATTGTGTTTAGTTAGACAAAATGGAGTACTGGGTATGTCAAAAAAAAGAGAAAAAAGAAGAAGATTAGGAAGCAACTTTCATCAATGCTAGACTTACCACAATGCTTGATAGGATGATTATAACTCATAGGAATCCAGTCTGACAAAATACATTATGTGCATATGTAATTTTTTAACTTTAATTTATTTTTGTTTTGTTTTTTATTGTGCTATGAAAATTTAAAGTGAATTTTCTATTCATATTTAGTTACTGATCTTACTCATGCCAATATTACCACTACTAAAATATATGAAAAAGGTAACACAGATTGATATCCTACTTCTCTAAGTAATATTCTAAGGATGTATATTTCTTATATTTTTTAAACATATGAAAATATGAAGAAATTACAAAATGCTTAAAAACCTGACATTCTAAACTACTTTAAGATCAAATTTCAGGTCCAGATCATAAATGAATTGAAAAATATATTGTTCCTTAACCCTTAAAGGACAAGCAAGCTCACTGTTTTATCTGCAAAAACAATTGCATTTTATTATTTTTCATTTCTTATACCCAAATAGGAATATCATCAAATAAGGAAATCATGGATCTTTCCTTAAATAAAAATTCATTTTCTCTCAACCTCTTCTAATCTGTATATTCATAATAAACAATGTTGAAATTTTTGAAGAGATGATTTCTCTCATTTTTTATCCACTGAGAACCAAAAAACTAATATTGACAATTGCTATATTTTGTCCTGTAAGGATTAAGTACATAAAGTTTATTTTTCTGACTTTTTAGAACTTAAATATTCAATTCTTATGCATTATGCTTTTTTTTTAAGACATCTTCTCAAAAAATCTATCCTCAACCTCCATTCCCAAAATTAATGTCAGAGTCAAAGAGCTTTCTTGAATTTATCTATATCTTTTTGATTCATACATAGACATAATTGAAAAAGACTGAATAAAAATGTTCCTTCGCATAAAACTTTTTTAAAACTCAAGATGAGAATTTCTGACCAACTCAATAATTCTGTTATAGAACTTTTTTTTCAACTGTCTGCAGTGTTTTCTTATGAGATGATTTAATTAACTTTCTATAGAATTATCTAATCATACAACTCACATCCTATTTAAGCACATGAGTTTATTTAATTTAATTTGTCTTAATCTATTCTTTATTATATTTACAATAATGTTGCTAATAATGATGTTTATATTCAAAATTTTGATCCATTATAGAAATTCAGTAAATCCATTTAACCATAAATCATATATTTTACACCAAGGCTTCTCAAAAATATCAGTTCAAGGCATTTACATTCTTATATAACTTTTTTTTTCAGAAGAAGAAGAAAGAAGGCAAAAAACTGAATTAAAAGTAACCATATTTCATCTTTCCAACTTATGCAGTTAACTCAAAGCACTAGGCCTCTCAGCAGTCTTCACAAGGAAAATTAGCTAAAAAAACGAGAAACATTTTTATCCCATCAAAGAATGCTCTCCACCCTAGCTCTCCCAACAACCTCCTTACTTACCGATGTTGTTAGTAGTTGCTGTTTGGTCCATGCTGGGATCCATGGATATGTGGTATGGTAGAGATGCAGCAAATGCAGCAGCAACGAAGCCGATACCAAGTAACACACACATACAAACACATAAATGACTGTAACCTGAAATAAATTGAAACAGTGAAAAACTGTATCCTGCAAAAGAGTTTTTAAAAAAGGAGATAAAATGATGATTTTGTTATATATGGCACAAAGAGAGCAATATATGTGATCCCCTGCAAGAATAAAAACTTATGTATTTGTATAATCACAAAATTGTTTTTTTTTTAGACATCATCCCTAATAAATCTTACCTCCAACTAAGCCTACAGTCAGCATCACTTTAGTTGATCAACTAAGTCAAGCCAAACAGTATTTCACTATCAAGTGATATTGTGGAATGGTATTGATAAAATCAATTATCCAAATGTATGCCATTAACCAAGAAAATGTGAAAAAAATTGAAAAAGGTAAGCAACAGGGTGTTCAAAATTAAAGTAGAGATAGCAAAAATAAAAGTGACTGAAAAAAGTCTGACAATTGCTTGCTTGTGCTCAATATATTCTCATCATCTTCTTAATCTACTTCAAAAAAGAAAAAAATTGTAAAAAAAGCAACATCTGTGCCCTAAACATCCTTCATCTAGAATGCGATGTCTGTTGGTCTTGAGCAGTGGTGTAGTGGGCATGTCCTTAATACTCAGTGAGGCAGTAGGTTGGGCCTTCATAATAATTTTAGTGCACCCATAAGTTGCTCTCATGTATATGTTTAACACATCAAAAGATACTAATCTTTAGCATTGAATATATCAGTGTAAGTCCCACATGTCATATCTGCTTCACAGTATATATATCTCACTAGTTGTCAAAAAAAGGATAAAAAGCTTTGCACCTTTTTAGATTTTTTTTTCACTATGTCCCATCTCAAACATCAGACAGGAATGTTCACAGTACATGCAGCATCAGTGTGTACAATTACATGAAGAAAATAGCCCTTTAAGGATACACATCACCTTAATGACACTTAAATTTCAACATCCATTTGTAAAATATATGCTACAGAGAGGATTTGCAATTATTCAAGGATATTAAGTGAATCAAATTATTCTGTTCTTTGGATAACCTGCACAATTCTAGGGTGCCTCTGCCAATTTCATTTAGCCAAGTAGTTGCTCATAATCCTGTATGTCCTATCCATAATTACTATATCTTCACAATACAGCCATTCTTTACTCTAAATTCAATATAGAATAAGTCCAAATTACAAGAATAAAAATACACAACTAATTAAGACCAATCAACAGTAAAATAGATGATAAAATCAATAAAATGAAAATTCCTCACTCTAGCTTAAACTTCAATCTTTCTCCATAGTAAGTAATATTCCATAAATATCTTCTCCTAAACAAGATACACCAACTACTGCATATTGAAAAGTACTCTGTGCAGAATAGTATGCCTTTTCTTCATTAAAGTGTTACAACCTATTTGTTCAATAACTGTAATAATCACAATATAATTACTTGTATATCCTTTTGTAAATATTTTTTTTCAAATGGTATATAATAATAAGCATAATTAGTTCTATAGCATAAACTAAACATGTATGCACATTTATGTGATTATGCACTTCTATGTAATAACATCAATGTTAGAAGAGGTAATTATCATTCTTTATAATATTTCTACAACATTCCATTAATATAAAAATAAAGATTATTTGTAGCTTACTTTCAAGATTCAGTAAACCCAAAGAATTATATACATAATATGGTACCTAATACTAATACAATCATATTACAATAGTTGTTTGTGCTTTTATAATAGTAAACATTACTGCAACATACAAAATAACTAAAGATAATTCTAAGATAGGCCGTATGTGTCCTCACTGGTTGAATGTAGCTATCATAATTATCCAAGTTAAAATGATCTGAGCTGATATAATAGTGCAATTATTGAAGAAAAAAAAGAAGGCTTTGTTCCTGTTCCATGTGCACAATAAGTTTTGAACTTTGCCATTACTTAGAAATCGATACAGTGATTTCAGTACCATTCAAAACAATGTTCCTAGAGAACAGTAACCTCTAATTTACAATCATTGATCAAATCGTATTGGGAAAAATGCTAAGAATAGAGAAAATGAGAAAAGAAAATACAGACAATTCCCCTTTATGCTTAGGAATTATTCATTCTTATTCATTATTCTGATAGCTAATATAATCTCGATGTCTTACTCATTATAAAACAAGACACTAAAAATATCTAATAATCAAGCTTACTATCAATATCTGTTCCATTAGGGTTTACCTTTTAATACCTCAATTAATTCTATTATATATAAATATATCATTCTTTCATGAATGTAGAAATGACGATAGGAGAATCCATACTCATAGTTCGATTTGTGACTGAATTAAAATCTATGAGTCATCTAAATATATCAAAGCAGGATATAAATACCCATTATTAAAAAATATATATAATCAAGCAATATCTAAGTGAAAGAAAACATAGGTTAAAAAAAAAAAAATCATACCTACAATAGTTTGATAAAATCTCATGGTTGCATGTAAAGATCACTAAGGCTGAATTGTTTGCTTCATTACCAGCGCTGAAGCAACTCAACTGAACAAATATTCAGACATATCAAATAGATTAATCAGCCTGTAGTGAATGAGTATTGAAATCCTAGTTGTTAAGTGATTATAAAGTAATATTTCAGTTTCCAGTATAAGCTAAGAGCTAATGATGACCAGTAATGATTTATAAAAAATAAAATTTCATAATCCCAATGACAACATACATAATATATCAAAACTGCTCGTCAAATTAAAATGCAAACCATACAGAGGTGTGCAATAGCTCTACATTCTATATGAACAGTACAGTTGTGTATGTAAATGTCCACATATTTTCTCCATCACTTATGTACTAAATGCTAACAAAGCCTTTCTTTATTGAATTCAATTTGGACCAATATAGACATACTTGGATCTGACTGCATGATGAGGACCTCACTTTCCAAATATCTGATTAAATAATAATTACAATAACAGGGATATACAGAGCAATTGCATAATCAACACTTGTCCTTACAGAGTGTGTTCTTATATAGCTATTACAGAACAGTATTATTTACTAAGTTACTAGGACAATTTCCTAAAGGAACCGAGATCTCTGTTCTACCAAGATTTTTTTTTTTAACCTTCCTTTTGATAAAATACAATTCCACTGCTTTTCTACAGCTGTGATTTACATATCTTGGATGTTTCCATTTCAGTACAATAATAAAATATTATGATATACAACTAACAGAACTAAATAATGTGAACTGAAACAACAAGGAAAACGGGGCTATTTTATTCAATATACACACGTGTTGCTGCATTAGTGACAGGAAAAAAAATCCCTTTCTGACAGAGAGGTAACAAAAAAAAAAAAAAAAAAAAAAAGGAAAAAGTTTTATAGATCAAAGTTGGTGTAAGAATCGTCGTAGAAGACTAAACTGACAAGTGCTCCAAAAGCCGAGGTTTTTTTTTACCACATACCTAAAACCACTCAACCGAAGTGATTCCCGTGTCTATCAACTTAACGGGTAAAAAAAAAAAAAAGAGACGGACAAGAACGGAAATTTTACGCTAGATTGAGCTGAAAGGTAATGTTGGTTATAAAGGTTTTCTAAGGCTAAACAGGAATCACAACTTAGGCTGAAATTTATTCTAATATTCTGATTTTTTTTTTTTTTTTTTTCAATATATATCATGGTTAAGAATATTAGTTTACAGAAATGTACATGAGCTTTACAATGAATCATTCTTCTGTATTGCAAAATATATAGTTTATTAATAAAGACTTCCATATCAAATAATAACATATTTGGTAACATTACATATATATATACCAGAAATATACCATTAATCTACATAACCACTCATACACATCAATAAAATGCAATTAAATAACCATAAATATTTAATAATCATCATAAAACTGAATATTTATTTCATTTCCAGTATATCTTAATCATCATAATATTTATCTTTTTATTATTATTTCTAATATATTTAAAACAAATTACGAAAGACACAATAACCATAAATATTTAAAATCATTATAAAATTGATTTTTTTTTTCTCTATTTCCAATATATCTAAACTAAATTACGAAAGACACAGAATATTAAGTATTTAATAATCATAATATTGTATATTTTTTTTTTAATTATTTCCAATATATTTAAAACAAATTACTAATGCCACACCAACGACAAACATTTAATCATATTTTTTATATTCCAGAGTTTAATTTCCAATATATTCAAACCAAATTATGAAAGACACAACAACATTAACTCATTTAATCATAGTGAATAATATTTTTCTTTCCAATCATTATCATAGTGATTTTTTTTATTATTGTTTCCAACATATTTAAACCCAAATTACGAAAGACACAACAACATTAACTCATTTAATCATAGTGAATATTTTTCTTTCCAATCATTATCATAGCGATCTTATTAATATCATTATTTCCAACATATTGAAACCCAAATTACGAAAGACACAAATTCCTCACACAACGCAAGGGCATACTGACCAACTTGTCCCAACGCAGTGTGAGTGAGTGCACGAGGGAGGAGAGGTGTAGCAGCAGGAGAATGGTGGTGGTGAGGATGGTGAAAACGGCAGTGAACACCACTACCCGCAGCCGCCATGCACCAGGCAACACAAAAATACTCAGGCGAGCTGTGCCCACTGTACATGCACACGTCATTGTTATTACTGAGACAACCTGTAACACAATTAAATTTCATTAGCTTCTCTGTTGATTCTTTTTTTTTTTTTTTTTTTAAGAAAATGAAGACATTCTTTTTCCTTTCTCTCTCTCTCTCTCTCTTTCTCACACTATTTGTTGTTTGGTTCTTTCTATATATATCTCTCTATCTTGGGGAATAAAATGACCTTCCCCATAAGGATGGACATGAATCACTTTCTGAGAAGAGCCTTTGAAAAGCACTGTAAAACTCTTTACTTTTTAAAATAAAAAATGCATTTCATCACAGCAAGAGATCCGGGACAACTTACTACTAATAATAGTCTAAAAATGCCAACTGAGGTCTTGAGGTGAGAGTCATCCCATGCTATCGTAACAGTGGGCGTTGGACGACGGTTCCTGGGAGGCTCGGGCGAGTTGTCCCCGGGGCTGGGGTCTGGGTCCTCCTCCTCGTCCTCGGGCTGTCGGCCGGCGTGCGAGTCCCACGAGAGGCGGGAGTCGCACCGTGAAATGGTTTCGAAGTCGTGTGAGAGAAGATCGAGGTCGTGTGGGATGTCTAGATCTGGATGCGAGGACTGGATGGTAAAGGAATCCCAGTCGGACGTCCATCTCCGGCACTCGAGCTGCTCAATATCTCGCAGCAATTCCTGCACCTCGTCATACCCGCAGATGTCGGATATGGAAGGCAACTCCCTCCGTAGTCTGGACACTCCTGAGCCCACCTCCTCTGCTGTGCCCACCGAGCCTGAGAGCAGTGAGCCCCGCGAACCGAGACCCGAGCCAGTCCGAGATCCCGGGCGTGACACTGACCGCAGAGATCCTGACGCCCGTGACAGCACTGAGGGTCGCGATCCTGAGCTGAAGGACCTGTGATTGAAGATCTTGGGCCGTGCCCCCCCGGGCCACCTATTGCTGACCGCCACCTTATTGTGGACATACGGACCAGAGCCACTAGTGGAGGGCCGTGAGTCGCACTCAGAGGGGCGGGACATCACTTCCTCATTGGCCTGCACCATGGCAGCAGGTGGGGGGGTGGGCAGGCAGGAGGGGGGGCAGAGCAGCAGCCTTTGAGGTGGGCAGTGCTATGCTCCCACCTCCACCACCACCACCACGACCCACCATGACACTCTCACACCCATGCCAGTCTGGCCTCATCTACAGAGCACATCGCGGATCTGAAAGACAAAATAGGTGTCAGTCGATTTCTAGGTTTTGTTATTTATAAATATCCTTATTACAAATACATAAAATATCAATGGTACCAGTTGAAAAAAAATAAGTTTCTTCTAACACCAGATCAATTGCATTTTTTCTACATTGATTTTACTTCTCTTTACTTCTAACAGCTGAAAGAAAGATTTGGTCATAACCTTAATTTCAGAAGACTAATAATCTAAACTTTCTATCATGCATATCCTACACACACAATGCCTATTCTGGTATTTTGTCACCATTTATCAATATCAATGGCCATTATATATCATGTTATGAATGTATTTGCAAATCTTCAAAAACTAATTATGTATAATATGCTAGATAGCAGAAAGTTAGTCAAACTTATGACTTATCAGTTTGTCTCCATTAGGCCACGAACATATTTCGAAAATCTTATACACATATATAATCTATTCTCCAAAATGTCTATACAAGTAAGTACTTCTGAAAAAAAAATCCATTGTTATTATCTGTAAATTTGCCACAGTAAAACATAATAAATATGTAAATTTCATTCATACAGAGAACCGTCTGCATATTTGTCTCTATATGTCTATCTATGTATCCTATCTATTAAATGCCTAACTATAGCATTATCTGTCTAACTGTCTATTTGCCTATCCTTCTTTATCTACCTATCCGTCTGTGTGTCTGTTTATTGTTGTTTTTTTCTCCTCCTTCTTCTTCTTCTTCCTCCCCCTCCTCCTCTCCCTCTCCCTCTCCTTCTCCCTCTTCCTCTCCCTCTCCCTCTCCCTCTCCCTCTCCCTTTCCCTCCCTCTCTCTATCCCTATCCCTATCCCTCTCCCTCTCCCTCTCCCCCTCCCTCTCCCTCTGCCTCTCTCCGTCCCTCTATCTATCTCTGTCTACCTATCTATCGTCATATCAACACTCTGACCCTTATCTTCAACATCATAAAAAAATCAACATGGTTCTAATCTGCTGTAGGAATCACATTTAGGTTTCAGTTTATCGAAAATTATAACTTTATAACTTACTGGCTGTCAAGTGGTTTTGCCTGAATGGGGATCAGTGAGATATTTCCCAATTTCGAATGCCGAATGTATGTTTTTTTTTCTATTTACCTTCATCATTTAAAAATAAATAAATTAATAAATAAAATAAAGAATGACCAATTCTATTAAAACTTGAATAAAATAAAGAACGACTGATTGTATGTTTTAATTTTTCTATTTACTATCATCACTGATGGTAAAAAAAATAAATAAATAAATGAACAAATAAAAATAAATAAAGGAAAAATAAAATAAAGAGCGAGCGCATGTAGGTATAAAAATAGCTTTCAATAGAATACGGAACCCAATACTAGCAGTCAAAAGTTTTTTTTTTCCGTCATCTTTTTTCAAATATTAAATATATATACATACATATATATATGTGTGTGTGTGTGTGTGTGTGTGTGTGTGTGTGTGTGTGTGTGTGTGTGTGTGTGTGTGTGTGTGTGTGTGTGTGTGTGTGTGTGTGTGCATTCCTTTTACTCAACAACATAAATATGCATAAATAACGTTTACTTTCCAATATCTTAAATGTTTATACTTTACTTATTTTCATATAGGTAGATAATGAATCAGGATAAAAGGTGAAGAAGAAGAAGATGATGATGATGATGATGATGATGATGATGAGGAGGAGGAGGAGGAGGAGGAGGAAAAGAAGAAGAAGAAGAAGAAGGAGGAGGCCGAGGACGAGGAGAAGAAGAGGAGGAAAAAAAAGTAGCAGGATGAAGAGAGGAAGGAGAAACGAAGAGGACGAGGTGAAGGAGGAAATGAGGAAAGACAAAAAGAAAGAGAAAGAAAATATAAAGCGGTAGATAGACCGACAGACAGACAAACAGACAGACAGGCAGATACGTATGTGTACTGCTACTACTAAAGATACAATACAACGTTTAATATCATTCCAGTGTTCAAAGCAACTTTAGCCACATAGGCTCTTTAACCCATGTATCAGCAGAACGGAACATTCAAACTCTAAACACAAGCATTACGGTGGAGCGATGCAAGCAATGTAACTACCAGGCAATCGCAGCAAGGATCAATGCGCACAGCCACAAACACATACATAGATTTGACATGTACACATACATACATACATGCATGCATATACATACATATATATATATATATATATATATATATATATATATATATATATATATATATATATATACATATATATATATATATATATATATATATATATATATATATATATACATGTGTGTGTGTGTGTGTGTGTGTGTGTGTGTGTGTGTGTGTGTGTGTGTGTGTGTGTGTGTGTGTGTGTGTGTGTGTGTGTGTGTGTGTGTGTACATACATAATACATACACGTACATAGATGCATACATAAATACATATATGTACATACACACATATATGTACATACATACATATATGTACATACATACATACAGTATATGCATATATGCACACATATATATAAACACGTACGTACATGCATGAACGCGCACACACACACACACGTGCCAGCGCCCGTATAAAAAAAGTGATAAAAAAGACGCAAAATATTCCCATTGATTTCTGTTGTGATTGTAAGCTATGTTTTTCAATCAGTCCATTATGGATATTAGCTCAGGTTTTTAGTCTAGCACTGATAGCTGGACCCGCTAAGCGCTCACAAAGCTAGCGGCCGATCGTAGCAACTTTTATGCGCAGACACGAAACATTGTGATAATGAATATAATGGTGAATGCCACTGGAATTTTGCACTGTCACGTGCTTTAGAGAGATCTAGGAGGAAGGGGGAGGGGCAGGGAGGGAGAAAAGGGGGGAAGGGAGGGAAGGACGGAAGGAGGGAGAGAGAGAGGGAAAGGGAGGGAGTGAAGGAAGGAGGAGGGGGGAGAGAGAGAGAGAGAGAGAGAGAGAGAGAGAGAGAGAGAGAGAGAGAGAGAGAGAGAGAGAGAGAGAGAGAGAGAGAGAGAAAACAAATCTTCATTGTATATCAAATAACAACCATACAAATATTTTTTTTTTTATCAAATGTTACTGTACGCATCTTACGTCACAAAGATGCACACCACAAATCCGTTATTAATAAAGCTACCGACAAAATCTACGATGTTGCAACTTCTACTTCCGGGAAAAAATCAAGAATATTGTTGCAAGCTCTGTTTTTGAATTCAGGAAAACTTACAGTGTTGTTATACAGTGTTGTTATGTTAAAGTAAAAACGTCAAGATCCTGTTTTCAATCTACCCGGATCTTCCATTAAAAAAAAAAAAAACATGAAAGGAAGAAGGAAAAAAAAATGATTATGATGGTGATGTATCCGGAAGAGTGACTTATTTTTGGTGAAAGGGAAGGGAAAAAATAGAGACGGAGAAATGGGAAGAGGAAACTTTAAAAAGA